TACTAACTGTATTTATTAACTTTTGGTAATAACACTATATAATACTCATTGAATATGAATGGGATTAAATATTAATCATATTTAACTATTTATTAATTAATATGAATATTTTAAATGAGGGAGAGTGGTATAGATTGGGGGATGCATTTTAGGAATTGATTAGGGAATGGGGCAACATGATATTTTCCTATTGGTTTAAATGAGATACCTTAGGAGAGAGATTATAGGAATATTTTTAGGTAGTTGGTGACATGGCTTAATGGGAGTGGTGGGAAGGGGAGGGGAGAGAAAGTCAAAGAAAAAGAAAGGTAGGGATAATGGAGCAAGGAGAGGCATGGTAACGGGGGCCCGTGCTTTGTTAAGTGAAAGTTAAACAATAGAGCCAAATCAATACAACCCGAGTTGGTGGATTTTCGCTAATGGTCATTCGGTTTCGAGTAACAAACTGGGGACTTGACCCGATCGATTTGGTTGGTGAAATAGCCTGCAACTGAGCTGAACCAATCATTGAACACTCCTAATTTCAACTAAATTTATAGTCTAATCTCTAAGAAATAACAATAGTTTAATCTCCAATAATTATTAAAAATTTATAGCGAACATACACAATCATTGAAATAAGTTTATAATGAAAATATAATAGATATATAATAAAAATACAATAATTACAAAAATATAATAAATACTGAAAATATACTAATTTAGTCAATAAATAGTGTAATCTTAAATAAAAGTTTAATCTCTAATAAGTGTTAATCTATAAATTATAAAAAATATATAATTACTAAAAATAAATTTATAACAAAAATGCAATAAATACGATAAATTAAATTTCAAAAGTTAAATAATAGTTGTTTAATCTCCAATAATTATTGATAATTTTCTATTAAATAAAAAAGTAAAAACACATTTATAAATAATTATTGAAAGCATATTTATAAAAACACAATAAATAATTACTGAAAGTAAAAAAATTAAATATAGTAATATAAATATATAATTAATATACACTACTATTGTAAAATTATTACTAATAAATATAATTTTGTTGATAGTTATTTTCTATAATTATTAATTGATATAAGTGAAATTAGTTATTTACAATATTATTTAGTTATTGAAATAATATTTTTATTTAAATTCTTAAAATATTAATTATTTATTGAATTTAATAATCCATAAAATTATAATTGTACTATTATTACATAATTCGTTATTAATTTTGTAAAATATTAAATTATTATTAATATGAATATTATGAATTCTATTATAATTATTTTCAACTTTTATTTTTTTAATTTATTACATAATTTCGTTATTTTAACTATTTAAAATTTTGTCATGTTAAATATTTAAATAATATATAAATTATTTAAAAATTTTCATTATTTTAATTTTATTTATTTTGATGTTATTACGTAATATTAAATATTTTGTTATATTATTTAGCTATTTTTAATGTTTTTACTTAAGAGTTTTAGTTATTGAAATATTTATATAATGTTTTATTTTTTAATGTTAAATTTTTATTATTTGAATAACATTTAAATTGAATAATTCATAAAATTATTATTTATATTGGCACTACATAGTTTCATGATGAATTTTGTAAAAATATTGAATTATTAATAATGTGAATAATATTAAATCTATTAATTTTTTGTGTTTTGAATAAATATTTCAAATTTAGTATATAATTTCCTTATAACATTTAAATAGTTCTGAATTTTTTTTTTAAATTGAAACTTTCTTTACATAGATATAGATAAAAAGTGGGGGAGAGGATAAATAGGAATTAGAGATAGTTGATGAGAGAATCTCTCTAGTAAATTAGAGAAAATTTAAGAGATAAATAGGAGTTAGAGACAATTTGGGAGATAAATAGGAATTAGAGACAATTTAGGAGAAAGTGGGAGAAAGTGGTGCCACTTGGCTAAACATTAGAAAAGCAAATCCCTCTTTCTTTATGGTTGTTTGAAATAGTTAAGCATGTGATTAGGGCTGTTCATAAGAAGGCCCAACCCGACCAACCCGGACCGACCCAACTTGAGTCGGCTGGGTTTTCATCAGCATCGATCGGTTTCGGGTTGTACAAATTTATAAACCGATGGTTCAGGTTGGCTTCAGTTTTCTTGTGTGAAAACCGATACCGACCCGAACCGAACCGACTTAGTTCCTACTTAACTATTTAAATATATATTTCGATTTTAAATTAAATCGACCTAATCCATTTAAATATATATTTTGATTTTAATTTAAATATATTTTATATTTAAAACTATTAAATAAAGATATTTCAGTTTTACATAAAAACTAAAATATCTGACAACCCAAACTTGCACCACACAGGCACATGGGCCATGGATGAACTTAGAGCCGAAACCGACCCAAACCGACCCAACCCGACTCAAACCAACCAGGTCGGTTTTTCTTAACACTGAATCGGTTTCGGTTTCCATCTCAAGTAACCTGACCAGGTCGGATCGGTTGGAAAAACCTCAGTAAACCGACCCAACCCGACCTGTGCACAACCCTACATGTGATTTTTTTATTGGTTTAATGGGTAATTATGTGAAATTAAAAAATAAAAAATTCAAAAAAACAAAAAATTAGGAAAGAGGGTTTAAAGTAAGAAGAGGGGGTTCGAATATATATAAATTATATTAATTATGTACCCGTTTGAGAGGGCTTTCAAACAATGATTTCCGACGTTGCATGAACCATGAAACTTGGAGAGTCGTTAATCCCCATAAAAGTCGGAAAAGCCAAAAATCGGCTTACATGAGCTTAAACATCAACTTCCTGGTGAAGTTAGGGTAGATAACTTCTCATAAACAGTTCAGTCAATGCAGCTCAATCACCAATAATAAGCCCTCCCAAACAGACTCTAGCTTAGAGAGAGAGAAAAGTTGAGTTGTTGGGTTGATTCTAGAACCAACAATCCATGGTTTCACGAAAGCTTTCAATATTTTTGAACACATGGTTTAATTGAAATGATTGGTTCATTGATGTAAACATGACGTAACAGTTACATGGTGTATCTCACACACTGTTAAAGGTTTGATCACGTTTTCTTTTGCTTCATAAGAACCAAGGTTTTTAAAATCGAATAGACGGTTTATTTGACAAAAAATTAAAAAGATTAAAAAAAATGGTTAAAATCGTTGGATGGTTCAGTTCAAACGGTTCAATCCTTCAATGATTTTTGGCAAAATAATAATTCTGGGGTAAAATAAAATCGGTCACCTAACTGATTCCCGATTTTCCAGTCCCATCCGGTCCAGTCTGATTTTGAAAACCATGATAAGAACATGGTTCAAAAAAGTGCATTGCACAATAACTCACATATCTACCTCAATAAATAGGATATGAATATAACGGCCTCTATTTTGTATTGTGTGGTTCAAAAAAGTGCATTGCCATTTTTGGAGATTTTTGTACATTTTCCAAATCATGGCACCTTTTATTAGAAAGAAAAAGAGTTGTTGCCATCTTGTTTTAGTGGTTTAATGAAAGGTTTTGAAAATCAGATCAGGCCGGATGGTTGGACCGGTTGACTTAGGAACCGTTCAGACAATCAATTTTGTTTCATCATAAAACTGTTTTGGGGCCAAAAATCATTGGTTTTTAAAACAGTTTTTAAAACATTGGTTAATGAATCATGGCTGCCTTAAGGGGGAACATGGAAGTCACTTGGACAAATAATAGAGCGGCAACTTGGGTTGGATTAGCCCAACCAACTTAAAAGATCGAGTTAAAGTTAAGGTTGAAAAAATATCAACCGGGTTGGTTTTAATGTTGAATTAGGGTAAACCTATTCATGGGCGAAACTAGGATTGGCTTTTGACAAATGGGTTCAGTCTGAAGCCTGAGCCTGAAACAGTGTAAAATGTTGAAAGGCTAAACCTGAAGTCCAGGTCATGAACAGGTTTAGCCTTTTGGTATTAGTGTCTGTTTGGAAAGGGATGAAATACAACGGCTTCAAGCTTTTTGAGGTTGGGCTCCATGGGCCCACACAGACAACCTTTTAAGCAATGTTTGGTGTTCGGTACTATTGCCGATTTCTCAGAAATTAGTGTCATGTCAGAGCCACATCAGCAATTTAAAAATCACTGATGAATTTGTTATTTAGTTGGTCGATTTCTGAGAAATTGATAAATCAGTCAAAAAACGACTATTAAAGTCAATACCTCTTTTCAGGCTGATTTCATTCTTTGGGATGATGTGGCATCTGATGTGGATAAAAAAGATAGTTTCGCTATAATAAAAATCACTACTTATAATCACTGTCAAACAAATTCATTGCTGATTTCTTAAAAATTGGTTACCATGGTATCAATGATACCAAATAAATAATTTCTTTAATTTATGAGAAATTAGTAATATCAGAAAATTGGTGATAGTGGCAATGATACCAAACATCACCTTAAGCTCCATCTTAAAACGGCATTTCAAAAGCTAATTTCGGCTTTGCGGTGGATTTTCACCAAACATAGGCTTCTCATGTCGGCCCCATCTCAGAACGCCGAAAGCCCTCCCAAACAGGCATTAACTTATCTAGACTACTTCAAAACCAGCTTAGCTGAATCCTCTGCTCAATTTGTCATAGGCTAGCAAACAATTTCTTCTTCTTCTTCCTTTTCTCAAATTGTCTCACAAGAATTTGTCTCAGCCACGGATTCAAAGCCAGATCCCTTCACGTTAACCTCCCCGACGGCTCGGCCCTCGGTTCGCCAATTTTATAAAAACATCCACTCCGAATGACCAATCTGACCCTGAAGTCCAAAAACGATAATAAAGATACAATTTTCTTATTATAAATCGATTGCCGTCTAGATCAAGAATCATACACGTGGCGAGACAGTGGGGCTCAAAAATAGTGAGAGCTCGTCGACGTGATGGGTGGCTTCATTAACGCCACGTCATAGTCCCACATAGGCTGAAAAGCTTATCTATAGAAGTTGAAAGTATAGAATCACATATTGGATCGAATCGCTGAAATGGAAGCCCAAAACATAAACTGAACAAGCCTATATAAGACCTACTCCCGCTATTTCAGCTTCTCTTATCGGCAAACAGAAACAACAAATCAGACTCTCTCTCTCTCTCTCTCTCTCCATGGGTTCTTCAACTCGTTGTTCTGTGATTATCGTCGGCGCAGGGGTTTCTGGTGAGATATATCCCGCGCGGCATTAGTTTTCCGGCAAAAACATTCATTTTGTTTAATCTGCAAGTATGTGGCGAGTCTGACTATTGTTTTTCTTTTCTGCTTCTTTTGTGTCAACGAAGGTATATCGGCTGCGAAGGTATTGGCGGAGAACGGCGTGAACGATTTGGTTATTCTTGAAGCTTCCGATCGTATCGGAGGGAGGATTCGGAAGGAGGATTTCGGTGGCTTGTCGGTGGAGCTTGGAGCGGGTTGGATTGTAGGTGTTGGCGGCAAAGAATCAAATCCTGTTTGGGAACTTGCCAACAAATCCAGTCTTCGTACTTGTTTCTCCGATTACAGTAATGCTCGTTACAACATCTACGATCAGAGGTTCTCTCTCTCTCTCTCTCTCTTCATTTCTCTCGGTCACTGTGTGTATGCAGAATCTGTTTCCGGTAATGCTATATCACGCCGGAGGAATCAAGTTATCAACTGAGTTCTCTTCCTTGTTCAGCGGTGGAACGAATTCCACGGGGCGTAATTTAGCATTACTCGTCTTACTTCAACGTTACGTCACAAATAACTGAAATATATCGTAACGGCCGATTCGAAAACAAGTTCTTTTGGGACTTGGGTTTTGCACTTTTGCTTTGTAGGACGATCCTAACTCGTTCTCGGAATCGTTTACAGTGGGAAGATCATACCGAGTGGTTTAGCAGCAGCGTCATATAGCAAAGCGGTGGACTCTGCAATTCAGAGGTTGAGAAATCAAGAGGCAAAGCTTCGTGGCCTCTCCACGATAACTGAACCGCCCTCGTAATCTTCTTTCATAAACTCTGTTTAATGTCTTTTTATGAAAGAAAATGAATCAAAAGTTAAAAAATAGAGTACCGTCCTCAATTGTTGTCCTTTTTCCGTTCTTTTCAGAATACCCAAGACCCCAATCGAACTCGCCATTGATTTCATCCTCCATGATTTTGAGATGCCCGGTTAGTTTTGGCAGGTTTCTGGTTCATTTTTTACTCTACTTCAATGGGTTTTTGATACAGAGATTAAGAACTGAAGAAACGGGATTTGTATGCAGAGGCAGAACCGATATCGACTTACACAGATTTCGGGGAAAGAGAATTTCTCGTAGCAGATGAAAGAGGGTACGAGTTATTGCTGTATAAATTGGCTGAAGATTTTCTCCTTACCTCTGATGGGAAAATCGTGGACAGTCGCCTGAAGCTCAACAAGGTTAGACTTTTCTTTCTCTTCTTATTCTTCTTCCTTTTTGAATTCTTTTTGCTTTTTCATTTTTATTTTTCCTTGCTGAGTTGCTGACTTGCTGTCTCTATCTCTATCTCTGTCTCTGCTATTTATGTCATATTTTTGTTTCTTTATGAACACATCACATCGTAACAGAGTACTGATTATTAAATAATTAAATGTAAAGGGACGAAAATTTGACGAAAAGTCCGAAAATCTGTTTTGTATGCAGACTGCATACACTCCTTTCTGTTTGACCTGCCTTAAGTTTATCAGATAACGACGTTCTCTTCTCCTGAAGGCTGAATCACCATTAAAATAGGGGGAAAAAAAGAAGACAATGAGACTTCTGTAGATTTTGGTCAACCCCTTTTGGGTTCCATCTGTCTTTTTTCTACTTGTTTCAGTGATGATAGAGAATCTGTCGATGAGTTGTTTTTCAATCTTTCTTGATTAAACTCAGACACTTGAATGGATTAATGGGTTATTTCTTTTTTTTCTCCCCAATTGTTTTCTTATTTTTCTTATATGTGGACTCCATCCATGGCTCCATTAAATTACCTGGGTTTGAGTTTGGGCAACTTTATGGTTTTGAAACAGAGAAATGGGAACGGGGAACCCATCCTGAGCTTCCTTTATGGGTTGTACTGTATATGACACTGCTCATCAGGAGACAGTCAAATGACTTAGCCCACGCTGAGAGTCATAATCAAATGAATACAGAATCGACTGGCTGGATTCCTGAACTCCAACTCTAATTTCTAGAACTCCTGCTAATAGAAATGTGGGTCTGAAATCTGAATCACCCACATACTCCAATCTTAGCCTGGGGGGGACTCTTTTTCTCTTCCTTTTCCCAATGGGTGTGAGTGATGAACTGATGATGATGGATTCATGGAAAGCTTAACGTAATAATCTCCACTGATTGGAATCCAAAAACAAGGACAGAAAAATGAGGTAGCCAGATGAAATTACAAATTAGTCTCGATTTTCAATAAATTCTGAACAAAATCTGTCGCACGCATTGACTACTTAGAATTGAGAAAGATTCAGATGAACGCGCGCTCCCACCGATTCAGTCATGAGCGGCACGTCATGCTTATCGCCAATTGGCTTTAGCAGCCTCGGCTCAACCAGCGATAACCACGTATGGAATACCACATGGGAGCGCGCTCATTAGATCACCACCGAAATCGCGAATTTTATGGGCCTCTCACAGCGGGCCTCGGTTTCCGTCTCCGTTCATTATTAATCGGATGGATTTGGCTGCAGGTTGTTCGGGAGCTACACCACTCGAGAAACGGCGTTATCCTAACCACGGAGGACGGTTCCATCTTCGAGGCCAATTACGTAATTTTGTCCGTTAGCGTGGGCGTTCTCCAAAGCGACCTCATCTCCTTCCGTCCCCCCCTGCCGGTACGTCCCTCCCTCTTCATTCCCTCCCCTCGTCATTTCTAGCCGTTAGATGTAAGAAATCCAAACCGTGGGTCCCATAGAAAAGTATCTCCCCCGTGGAACCCACGCGAATGGTAGAGGGGGGATGGTAATAATTGTATAATAATGATAATAGGGGAGGGCGGATTTGATGGACATCGAGCCATCGTAAATGAATACAGAAT